ACATCTGTACAAAGTTCTTAAGTAACAATTATGAAACTAAGCATGAAAAACATCGGAACTGCCAGCAGAAGGCAGTACTTCAGTATGATCATGTAGGCACATAACCTGTGGGGCAGTGACAGTCAGAGATATGTTTAAATTGTAGGGCTTTGAAGATTAACATAATTGACACTTCTGCTGTTATGCTGAACTCAGTATAATCAGTATGAGGCAGAAAACACTAATAATCTAGCAAAGCAATATCACAGATCAGCTGTGTCAGTAATTTGAACACTGACATAATTGAACACTGAATCCTGAGCTACTCATGGTACCCACTGTGTGCCAGGCACTGACAGAGATGTAATCTGAGTACCCTGTGCCATTCATGGTATCCACTGTGTGCTGGGCACTGATGTAGATGTATGGGACTACCAAGGTGAGATTTTAACCTTCTTGTTTTCTAGACTAATTCGGGCTCAGAGGGGAAGCATATAAACACACATGTGTACTATGTGTTGGGGAATGTAATGTCAGGGTGACACTGGGTTCCTTGAGCCTTCCTTTTGTTTCTGAGAGCTAAGTGTGAGAGTATGAAGCAGGAAAGGCTTCTTGGAGGAAACAATACCTAAGTCGATAGATGATGCCAAGGAGAACATTCTAAAGTGCTTGTAGGGAGGTGATGTCTGTATTCATGGACATGTGTAAACATAAATCACATGTGCAACATGGCACTATCTGCTGGAAATGGAACATAGATATGTTTGTGATATGTGGATTCCATTCCACACTTGACTCAAAACTAGTTTCTACAGTGAAACTGAAAGTGATGGTAAGTCATCAATTTGTTCTAAATATCTCTTACTTTATTGACCTCAAACTTTTCCTGTGTATTATAAAAATGTGAACAATCAAAAGGCGCCAAACTATACTTAGAATATGCATTCAGAGAACAAAACTATTTAGTTACATTTAAATGAATAGAAAGTATTGAAAACATTATTATTAAAATCACAAGGAAATTGTTGCTTGTGATTTAATTTCAAATACCTTCCACCATATTCCTATATGTAACAATGTTTTTTCAATATTATATTGAGCACAATGAACAGATAAATTATTAAAGCAAGTTTCATTTTCTTTTCATCTTATAGAGTTCAGTGATAGTTGATAGGAAAAAGTAGAGAACACTAAATATATGTACATGGGAGGTGAGCAGACGGCTCAGCAGTTACAAGGGCATGTATAATCATGAGGACCAGACTTTGGATGTCAGTGTCTAGGTCACAGTCCAGGCTTTCCTGGAATCTCTGGAATCCCAGCTTTGATCCCCCCAGACTGAGGATGGGTAAAGACGGCATTAGCCTTTCAGTCTAATGCAGGAAACAGAAGCCTTGGACCCAAAGAGAGGCACCATCTCAAAGGAATAGGCAGAGAGTGATATGATAGACGCCCCACACCCTTGTATGGCCTCTACAAGCACCCACAGACATGTGCACCCAGGCACATGAGCATACAGACACACATACACACCAACATTTCAGAAGTAAATTTAAAACAATTTAAATATTTTTAAAGTATCTGTGGTTTAACATGGAGCATTTAAAATAGGACAGTATATAAAAGCTGGGAGTGATAAAAACCTATCTATGCATTTAAACTAAGAATATTCTGGTATATTCTTCAGGATTAGTCTTGAGCTAAGCTGCTAGGTTTGGCAACTTTACAGCTATTTTTTTTATGAAGTTTGACAAGTCTTCTATTATTCAGTCATTTCTCTGGAGTAAAATGATGTGTTTTCTCTATCATGTAGATACATTGTCTTGGGGGCTGCTGTGTAATTTCTGCTTAAATGTGTGTTATCTACTATAATAAAAGGATATTTCAGTTACACATGAATTTGGTGTTTCTAAAATAACTATCTTGAATCATGTTGAGATGGGGAACAATATTTTATTCATTATTTCATTTCCTTATGGTCTATTTTGTTCCGAACAAATATGAGGCATCCTAGAGAGGTGCATATAAAACAACAGACTGAGTCAGGACACCGGAGTCAAGCAGTAGGAGTAGGCAACGGGATTCTGTGGAGGATAGCATAGGCTTCATTTTGCTAGAAATAAACCACAAATTTGGCTCTACATTCTCTAGTAAGTAATGCAAAGGAGAAAATTTTCCTCTTCATTTCAGAATGTATGGGCATCTTTCAGAACAGGTCACCCAGTTCAGCAGCTTCAAAGATACATTTCCATCACTGAGAACAAACGGGTTACCCCCTGTTGTACATTCCTCAGTTTTGTAAAGAGTAACAAATATGTGTAGCTCAAAACACCCAAGTATTAGAAACACCCTTGTTAGGAAGTTCTACAGTGAGTTCAGTATGGTTGTATCAGAGTAAGCTCAGATAACCGGACCCCATGGTTGCTTCCAAATGTCCCACTCTGTCAGGACGACTCTATGCAGGTAGTAGATGCTCCTGAATTTGATTCCGGATTCCCTAATTTCTGTTGTGTGATACTGTGTTTGTGTTCTGACAAATAAAGCTTGTCTGGAGATCAGAAGGCAGAGCTAGCAATTAATTAACCATAGAGGCCAAGTGGTGGTGGCCCATGCCTTTAATCCCAGCACTCAGGAAGCTGAAATGGGAAGTGATAAGGTGGGGCAGAGAGAGACAGGATCTCAGCCCCTTTCCGTCTTAGGATCCAGAGAGGTAAGAAGTCACAGGTGGCTGCTCCTCTGCTTCTCTGATCTTTCAGGTTATTACCCCAATATTTGACTCCTGGTTTTTATTAATAAGACTAATTGGGTTCACACTTCATCTTTCATTTGCTTGAGACTAGTAGACATTGCTTCTCCCTGTCAAGTGTGTGATAAATGTTGAATGGCAGAAATCAAGATCTGAATACTGAATTTTAAGCAATTGACCAAATGCAGATAGACCCACACACTCTGCCTTAGGTCTCTATTCTCCATTCCCACCACATCAGGGAGAGCTTAGTATTACAGGTGGGATCGCACTTATCAGCATGACAGCATTGGAGGTGCTTTAGGGCATCTCCATGGTTACTATTTAAGATACCTGAAAGTTGCATGAGAAAAAGGCTGGGTTCTCAACAGAATCACTGGGTCTCAGGAGATTTGCAAGGTTTTTGAAAAAGACATTGTGAATATGAGACTGCAGTTCTCATGTTCAAAAGAATTGTTGCATTTATCCAAATAGCACTCTCGTGCACTTTTTCAAGTATAACTGGAAAGACTGAGTTCTAGGGGTCTGACATCATAATGATAACATATGACTAACTCCAACATTCCCCTTTGACATCTGCATGTCTGTACATCCAAATCTGAACATTCATCACAGAAGTGAAGATTGGAGTCTCTAAAAAGGAGATGCCATATAAAACATTGGGTTGTTTGTATAGGACCTTTCAGATAAGGGGAACTGGGACACTGGATATCAGAATGAGTTACACCTCAAATAATTGCAAAGGAAACATTTTCCTGTGATAAAATGTTATGTAATTGATAGTAGTTAATTGTTTTTTATTCAGAAATCTTACATTATAAAATTAAATTTTGGGTTGGTTAAACACAGCTTATACATTGCTTATTACTGGTCATCAGGGAAGGTTTGTGACGTTTTAAGAGATTCACACTAAACATTAAACTTGGATAGGGTTTATGGGACATCCATGTATGACAATGAACAGCTTGGGAGTTCTGTGACACAAAACCAAAAACTACTTTTTGTTTGTATTTTAGCTCCTTACTTAGATTCCTTTCCTGTTACTGTGATAAAATACTCTGATGGAAGCCACTTAAGGGAGAAAGGGCTGATTTTAGCTTGTGGTGATATTGTGTTCCCCAATATATTGTGCATCCTAATAAACTTATCTGGGGTCAGAGGACAGAACAGCCACTAGATAGACATAGAGGCCAGAAAAGGGTGGCAACATACCTTTTAATCCTAGAATTCCAGAGGCAGAGATCCATCTGGATCTCTGTGAGTTCAAAGCCACACTGGAAACAGCCAGGCATGGTGAGTCAAGTCTTTAATCCCAGGAAGTGATGGCAGAAAGCAGAAAGGTATTTAAGGCATGAGGACTTTAAAAAAGCTTTAAAGCTTTTGAGCAGCACAGTTCAGCTGAGAGGCATCCAGTCTGAGGAAACAGGACCAGCTGAGGAATTGGCAAGGTGAGGTAGCTGTGGCTTGTTCTGCTTCTCTGATCTTCCAGCGTTCACCCCAATATCTGGCTCCTGAGTTTGTTTTCATTAATAAGACTCTTTAAGATTCATGCTACATTAACTCATAGTTTAAGGTATAGCCCATCATGGCTGGGAAGTCTAGGTGTCAGGGCTTGGAAGCAGCTGGTCACATGACCTCATCAGTCAGAAGTATTGAGCCGTGAATGAATGCTGCTGCACAGCGCCCTCTCACTACTTACAACTCCAGGACATGCCTGGGGAATGGTTCTACCCACAGTGGGTGAGTCTTAACACTGCAATCTGCACAATCAAGATAATCCTCCCCAGGTGTGCTTAGAGGGCTGTCTTCAGGTGTTTCTAAATTCCATCAAGCTGACCACACTCTCCAGCTCCTCTAATGTACGTGTTCTTCCTTTGGTGAATTACAGTTGCCTGAGGACCAAATGTCAGCAACTAATTTCTCAGCAGTATATTTTAAACTTAGTGAAATAATGAATCATTTGGATAATACAGGATTGTCACTTGCTTAAGATATGAATATCATTAAAACTATTATTCCTGTTTCAAGTACTAATTTTGGTGGATAGGTTAAATATTTGAATATTAATGAAATATGATTGTTGATTATGAATTTTGGATTAAGGGACAAAAAATTATCAGTTTCTAAAAAAATTGTCTGAATTGTAAAGTTGTGTTCATAAAGATATTTAACATTTTTCATAACCAATAAACAATTCCTATGTAAAATGTTTTAAAATATGAATGAGAACTGAGCAAGGCTAATGCTACATACTTTTTTCACCTCTCAATTTCAGTCATGATTTCATTGGGGAATTTACAACAAGCTATCGAGAACTTTCTAGAGGACAGTCACAATTCAACGTCTATGAGGTAAGGAGCATTTGGCTTTACTACTGACCTCCTGTGGTAAGCGGTTTTGGCTTTACACTACTTTCAAAAGATAATCACCAAAGATTAAATGAGACCGTGCAAGTGCATGTGTATGTGAAAGAGCATATACACACACATGTACATTTATAATCTTTAAATTCACTGAGTCAACTTGTTCCCTTAATTAATATCATTTTACTTATTTCTTTAATTAAATGATTGTTTCAGATGACCTATCATATTAAATGAAGGTATTTGTGGAGAGCAGGTTTCACCCTGAGTGAATATGCATTGTGGAGGGGTGGCAAAGCCTTCCTCTGGGCCCAGTGCCAATGTTGACAGTGTGTGTAGAAACTTTCAACCACAGCTTCCTTCTCCAAGATGACTGCAGCCAGGGACAGCTCCCTCCAGAGACCTCCCCCCAAGATCAGCTACACCTGCCTCCTTGTTCTGTTCATACCATGAACCTGCCTCCTTGTTCCGTTCATACCATGAACCTGTCTCCTCGATTCTGATGTGTAAAGCAAACGTGCGGAAGCTCCTGGGTTGCTGCTGCGGTTGGTGTCCTCTATCACAGCAAGCACAACCCACCTCATGCCAGCCTTTCTGTGTGTCTGTCTGTGTGTCTGTCCTTCCTTCCTTCACTGTTCCAGTTAGGTTAATCCCCAAAGGCCTGTAGTGCTGCAGACAATTGGTTTTGTTTTATTCTTGCTCTTAAGTCACATGGTCTATTTATTTTGAGCTTTTAAGATTGTACTTATTTTGAATTTCTATGTAAGCATTTGCCTGTGTGTGTGTGTGTGTGTGTGTGTGTGTGTGTGTGTGTGTGTGTGTGTGTATGCGCGCCTGCAGAGGCCAAAAAGGGCTGTCAGATTCCCAGGAACTGGGACTACAGGTGGTTGGGAGCTGTCTGATGTGAGTGCTTGGAACAGAACCTGGATCCTCTGGAAGAGCAGCAATGCTCTTAACTGCTAAGCGATCCATAGGAAACATTTTTCCTTTTCTTCTTTTGAAGTTAAAATATAATTAACATCATCTCCCCTTTCTATTTCCTTACTCTAATACCTACCATATGCTCTCTCCCAAATTTGTAGTGTCTGGCCTCTTCTTTACTTTTTGGTGTGTGTGTGTGTGTGTGTGTGTGTGTGTGTGTGTGTGTGTGTGTGTGTGTGTGTTCCTAAATATATAAACACAATCTTCACAATCATCTGTATACTGTTACTTGTATGTAGCTGTTGGGGGCTGACTGTGTGGTATTGCAGAACCCACTGGTGCCCTCTTCTCTGGGGAAGACGATTTCTCCTGCTCTCTGTGTTCCCACACTGCATGCAGTTCTTTCTGTAGGGCTGAGGCTTTGGGAGCTCTCCCCACTTCATGTCAGTGTGTCCGCTGGTGTCATCCTGTTTAGGTCTTGGGATATGTTTTCTTGTGTTATATACAAATCCCAACCTGCTGTGCTTCGGCAGCCAGGCTTTGCTCCCCTGCCCACCGCTAATCAACCAGTTCCTAATCCGAGAAAGAAAATGATTCATTTTTCTCCTATTGGCATAGTATTAGGTAAGTGAATACGGTCTGCATAGTGTTCCTGATCACCTTCGCTTTCATTTAGGTAGAGACTGAAGGGAATGCCAGGGCACTGTGCAGTCAATAAAAAACCCAGATTTACCATACAGACTGAAATTGCATCTGCCCTCAACCACCTAATCTGGGATTAGCACTGCTGGCCCTCCACTGCTATCATGTGAACATTCTCTATACTTTTTTTTTTAAAAAAAGTTCATATATATGAGTAGGAAAAGAGTGTATCTCAGTATTTAGTGGATGATGGCATCTCTTCTCCACCAGGATACCGCTAAAGCTGACTTCTTTTGAGAGAGGAGGATTTATATAGGATTGTATCCCACTCATACTTTGTTCATTCATTCATTCATTCATTGGCTGATTAAAATAGTTCCATTATTCTGCATCCCATGTTCTTTACTAGGCTCTGCATCTCTCTGGGCACACAGAGATGAATGAAAATTTCAGTGTGTGATAGCAAGACAGGCAGGGTGTTTGCAATGGCCATTCATTTGTGTGTGCTCTGGACAGACAGTGTGCTGACTGACCTATGAAGTTATAGAGAGGCTAAACTCAGCCCAAGAAAGATTCTAGCCATAGACAAAGATGAAGTAATAATCTTTTCTACTTAAATCTTTCAAAGAAAGGATATTAAGACTATATGGGGATACAGGCCTGTTAGCGGCCTACAGAGGCAGACAGACCCAGCAGCAGTTGTCAGGGACATACAGGCCTGGCGGTGGAGACAAGTGGACACAGGTGGGCCTGTGGTGGCGGGCCACAGGGGTGGACAGACCCGGGAACGGAGAGGGGTGGACGCAGCTTGGAGCAGGGATGCCCCTAGCCCCAACACCTGGGGAAGAGGCTATCTCCGTGGGTCGGAACCAGGGCGAGTCTGGACACTCCGTCTGGGGACAACCCAGGGCCCAACTGCTGATCCTGTGAAACCCAACAATTTGGAGGTGTTGGTGAGACTACCCTGCTCAGCTGAAACCCATCTGGGAGAGGATTCAGATGACTACAGT